TTTATTCTGATTTTAAAAAATGTTTAAATTATAAAATTTAGCTTTTGTTATCTTTAGGAGTAAAATGGTTCATCTATTAAAATTTTCATATGCTTATTTAGTTAAATCATGATGTAAAAATTTTAATATATTTTTAGATAATTAATGTAAAAAATAATATTATTTATAATTAAAATAATACATGATATATTTACTCTTTTATTCTACCCATTTATCTTTTAAATTTTATAAAAAAAATATATATAAATTTTATTAAAAAGTATATAAATTTAAAATAATAAAGTAATATATTTTTATGCTTTTTTATATGAATATTTTAATTTAAATATTTAGAATTCTACTTGATAACACATATAGCACAAGGACAATTTGGTAAAATATATATTCTAGTAATCTTATATTCTTTCAACCAAACACTGTAATCATACATTCCTGCCAAACAAACCAAACACAATAATGTAACATTCACAGTAATCATATTCCCTGGTAATCTTACATTCCCACTAGTAATCTTATATTCCGTGAACCAAACACACCCTAATTGTCATTAAACTTATGTAATGAATGACATTTCTTATATTAAAAAAGCAAAGCTAGATTGGATGTCAAAAGTAAAGACAAGCAGCTCAAAAACAGGACTGTAGAATGAAATAATATAATATCCTAGTGATTGGCTGGGGTAGAATTACTCTCTCCACCTGCCGAGCCCCTTTTTCCAGAAATACTTTAATGTAAATAAATCAGCTTCCACTCAATTTCTGATACACGCTTCTTTGACCTAAGGTGTTTCCTGATTCTAATCCAGCACGGCAGGACATGAGGCATCGGGAACCAGCAGCATGAATTTTTTTGATGAATGGATGTTTACTTTTAGCCACATCAGATGGTTCTACAATTGAAATGATTGAAGTAGGTCAGGAAAACATGGTAAGTGATAAATCACCAGCGATACAAACATAATCAACAATAGGATTAGATATCTGATCAGATTTCTTTGAGTTTCTGTTTGGTTCAAAAGTGCATGAAGTTTCTGCATTGCGGGAGAAAGGACCCGCTCTTAAAGTTCCTCTTCAATTTTTGCGTGTTGTAAGGTATCATACTCGATCATTTCTGTGTAGTTTATGGATTTATCAATACTTTACATCTTAGTTTCTCAGTAAAGGAAATACATCTCTGGTTTTCTCATACAGAGTATGATTGATGTATGTAGGATGATCCGAGACGGTCATTTTGGATTAAAACAGTATTTCAAATCTTTGTGCGACAAAATAGAGGGTGGGAATGACTATTTTCTACTAGGTGCCGATTTTGCAAGCTATTTAGAGGCCCAGGTAAATAGTTGGTTTTGCAAGATGTGTTGGAAAAGGGTTTTGCGTTTTAATTGTGAAGAGTATGTTGAAATGAACAGGCAGCCGCTAATGAAGCGTTTGTTGATGAAGAGAGATGGACTAGAATGAGTATACTTAGTGCAGCTGTCTCTGGGAGATTTAGCAGTGATAGGGCTATCCAAGAGCATGGTTTTTAAAATCGGACCGATCAGTGAACCGACCGTACTACCGGTTCACTGGTTTAACCGGTCGAACCGGTGAAAGAACCGGACGACGTCATAATTATTTAAAAAATTAAATAAAATACCAAAAACATTTAATAAAAAACAGTTTTTTATATCACAAGTCATATTCAAAGCAAGTCATAACATATATAAGTTAAAAATTATAAAATCAAGTGAAACAAAATGATTCAAATTAACCACAACATAATATTTAAGGTAAAACATATTAAATAATAAATATAATTATAATAAAAAAAATTTGGGGCTGAAAAAAATCATAACAAACGATGTCGTTTGGTTTAATTTTTTTTAAAAAAATAATCATATATGGCTAAGAAACATAGAAGAGCATCCCAAAAGTCTAAAGAGTAAAATTATGAGAACAAAACAATCCTACATGGCTAAGAAACATAGAAGAGCATCTCAACTGACTGTTATAAATAATAGAGGTAATTTGACATTCAAAAATCATAGTCTTTTGTTGAGCACAGAGCGAACTATAATTTCGCTTCAATCGACCTTAAATTTCAGGCTTCAATCGAGCTTCTAATTTTTTTTTTGAGTTCGAGCCTTTTTGAGTTCAAGTTTCAATATTATATTTCGAGTTCGAGTTGAACTTGATAATTTTTAGCTCGTGAGTTTTTTAGTCGAGTTGAGCTTACTTTTAAAGTTTTCGAGTTCGAGTCAAGCTCAGCAATACTCGAGTTCGACTTTGATCGTTTAACAAATGACGTCTTTTGATTTAATTTTTTTTTAAAAATAAAAAAATAGAACCGACGGTTCACGCCAGTTTTCAGCCGGTTCTATCGGTTTTCAGTCGGTTCACACCGGTTTTACCGGTTCTATTGGTTCATTGCAAAACATTTAGGTTGAACTGGTTCACGGTTCAGTCCGATTCGAACGGTTTACAACCGATTCAGCGGTTCCTTACGATTCACTAGTAGCGGTTTAACCGGGATAGAAAGAACTAGACCAGGCAGCGGTTCCCGGTTGAACCGGTCGGTCCAATTTTCAAAACATTGTCCAAGAGTACGCTGAAAACACTTGGGTGGCGTTTGGTTGGATGGAATCCCTTGGATTTTGTGGGAATTGGAATCCAATTCTACCACTTTCCCATGTTTGATTCAAGTTTTTCAAGGGAATTGGAATCCCTGATGGAATTCAATTCTATTAAAGGAGGGAAAGTGAATTCCATCCAAAAATAGATAGAATTCAATTCCCTTGTTGGAGGGAATTGAAATTTGACCATACTACCCTCATCAATCCTTTAATAACTTATTTATATATTGAATAAAAATATTTTTTTATTATTTCGGATCGGGTCGGGTGAAACTTTATTTTGGTCGGGTCGGATCGGGTTTTTTTAAGTGTGATATTTGGGTCGGGTCGGGTCGAGTTCGGGTTTAGAGTGAAAAAAACCGGACCGACCCGAAAATATATATAATTCAGGTCGGATCGGATTAAGTCACTGTTTTTATTAAATAAAAATATTTTTTTATTATTTCAGGTCAGGTCGGGTTGAATTTCTAATTCATATATTCGGGTCGGATGAAACTTTATTTTGTTTATGTCGGGTCGGGTTTTTAAAGTATGATATTCGGGTCGAGTCGGGTCGGGTTTTTTAAGTGTGATATTTGGGTCGGGTCGGGTCGGGTTCGGGTTTAGGGTGAAAAAAACCGGACCGACCCGAAAATATATATAATTCGGGTCGGGTCGGATTAAGTCATTGTTTTTATTAAATAAAAATACTTTTTTTATTATTTCGGATCGGGTCGAATTTTTAATTCATATATTCGGGTCGGGTCGGATGAAATTTTATTTTGTTCGGGTCGGGTTTTTTAAGTGTGATATTCGGGTCGAGTCGGGTCGGGTTTTTTAAGTGTGATATTCGGGTTGGGTCGGGTTTAGGGTGAAAAAAATCGGATCGACCCGAAAATATATATAATTCGGGTCGGGTCGGATTAAGTCATTGTTTTTATTAAATAAAAATATTTTTTTATTATTTCGGGTCTGGTCGGGTCGGATTTCTAATTTATATATTCGGGTCAGGTCGGATGAAACTTTATTTTGTTTGGGTCGGGTCGGTTTTTTAAGTGTGATATTCGGGTCGAGTCGGGTCGGGTTTTTTTAAGTGTGATATTCGGGTCAGGTCGGGTTCGGGTTTAGGGTGAAAAAAACCGGACCGACCCGAAAAATATATATAATTTTACTTTATATATTTAGGAATAATTACAATAATACCCCTCTATATATAATTTTTTTCAATTAAGTCAATGTTTTTATTGAATAAAAATAATTTTATTATTATTTTGAGTCGTGTCGAGTTTCTAATTCATATATTGAATAAAAATAGTTTTAGTATATTTTTTTGTAACTAATTAGAATACTCTGATTGGAATGTACCGAAATATTGCTCTATCTTTTGGTAACTTATTAATATATTTTGATTGCGATGATTTTAACTTATAATGTTTATTAGTATGATTTTTATAATTTATTGAAATGAATAATCAATTAATAAAATGAAAATTTAATATTTTTAATTTTTTATAATATATTACTACATGTAAGTTGTAAAATAAACTAAAATAAAATAAAAAAACAAGAAGCGCAATTATGTCATTTGACATGTATGAGAACCAAACAGAATATAGAATTAGATTCTAATTCCATTTTCTGCCAACCAAACAGAATATAGAATTGGATTTCAATTCCTACATATTCCAATTCCTATAAATTCTAATTCATTTACTGATTTTAATTCTTTCGTAAACATTTTAGCGAACCAAACATCACATTGGGGGAATTCAACCTTGCAGATGCTCCTTTTGATTTTAGAATGCCCTCGCAACGTCACGTGTGGGATTGGTTGGTTGGTTTTATATATAAAATAAAATATTATGAGTATTATTTATTTAAAAAAAAATTATTTTAGAATGCCCATTGCAAACAATTTTGATTGCGGAGGAGGACGAATTATGGGTAGGTATGTCGTACGTAGTCTAATATACTATTGAGAAAAAATATTACTGGAAATGTTATTTATTTTTTAATATTTAAAGTAAAGTGTTATCTAAAATATTATTTATTTTATCAGAAATGTTAATTTTGTTAACTAATTTTGATAAAAAATAATGTTTTAAATAACGTTTAATATTAATATTTTTAATAAAAAAATAATATTTAAGTAACGTCTAATATTAATATTTATGATAAAAAAATAATATTTTAAATAATATTTTATAAAAAAAATATTTAAAATAATAATATTTCTAATATCATCTTTTCTTCAACTATATATTAAACTGACGCACGAGAATTCCACGAATTATACAATTTCTGGCTACGTAAAATTGTGACGTGAATTCATTCGGTCTTTCTGTGGTCAGGCATCGAGAAATGGAATCAAAGTGGCGATAAGACTATTCCTTAACTAAGGTCTTGCTAAAAGCCCTTCAAATTTGTCACCTTCCCAAGGGTTAACCTAACCCATTACCCGTTGCCCATTGCCATCATCAAAGATGGAAGAATCGACATTGGAGCAAAAGCTCCATGCTTTAACCCACATCCTGACATGCCCCACAATCTCACCACCTCTCCAATCTCAGCTCTTCATCTCCACACAAATCCCATGCTTCCTCAACTGGGATTTCCCTCCAATTCTGTGCAATAAACCCAATTCACATGCCTTCCCTTCCCTACACCTCCAATGGGGATTCTCTCTTTTCCTCAAAAGGGTCTCAAGATTGGGTCTTCCCGAAACTTCCTGGAGGTCCAAGTGCCCTTACACCCAGCCCCCACCGTTGATTCTGGCCAAGGGAGTGGATGAAGCTCAGTGGGGTGATGCCCAGAAGACGGAGTATCTTAGGAAGAGGCTAAGAAGGAAACGCCTTGGAAGCGATATCAACCCTTTGATTCCCATTTTGATTCCTGATGCATTATTGTTCTCCCTGCTCTTGTTTAATCCATTTCCTCTTAAAGATGATTGACTAATTTCGTGTAATAATAACCACTAGATTCTTATGTTTATCGCTTTTGTTGGATCATCTTCAAGTGCAGTATTGTTTAGCGTGCAAAATCTGGATTATCGGCAGTAAACTTTGCTTAATCTATATCCAGGCCCAGGGTATACTTCCATGGCCCACCACCTGCCCAAATCCCCAACTATAATTTCGCCCATTATTTATTTACACTCTATTCGGATTCTAGACTAAGATTGTTTAATTTCTTGTTTATTTTTATATGCCCCTGCTTTATATCAATATTCAATATAATTATTTTAAAGCTTAATATAAAAATAAGTGCTTAAATTATACCTAAAATCAGTTTTTGGTGTTTAAATACTTTTTTATTAAAAATAAATATCTAATATTTTATTCGTTACACTTGTAGTTGCATACGATTAAAAAAAACTCGTCAAGTATAATTTTAACTATAAACACTTAAAAGTATAACAAAAAAACAATAGACATCTAATTTTAACGAAAAATTCTTTATATACAAAAAAATTAATTTAAATATAATTTTAACACTTATTTTTATATTAAATCTTATTATAAATATATCTTTAAAAAATTCTCTTAATTTATGTAAATATATTGGCGTCAATCAGGTTTGAATTTAGATAGCATGCTATTTCTACAGCTTCTACTTCACTAAACTAATAATCACTTAACATTCACTTCACTAAATTAACAATCCTTCTCCCTCTCCCTCTCATTTTCTTGTCTTTAGAGTTTGTACCATTTTTTTAAAGATCAGGTTAACTTTTTTTTTTTGGTTTAATCGGTGACGACATTGATTCTGATGCTAGTTATCGTCTAACGATTCTCTTTTATTTTTATTTCTTTTTTATTTTTTTAATAAAAATAATTCTACATTTGTGGCACGTTTTATTCTGTCTTTGTGATATGTTTTTCCTTTTTTTTCTCTATTGTTTGGTCGTTCTTTTATTTATGTTTTCTCAAGGTGAGAGTTGACGACATCACGACTAATCAAGATAATGCTTATTTGTAATCATGTTGATCATCCTTTCTATGGACCATCATATTGAAACTGGATGCACGATTTTGCATTCGTTGATAGTTTCTTATGATGCTCAGCTCTAATTTGCGGTTTTCGGCGATCTGTCAATATCTTAATATCATTTTGTGGTTTGTTTGTCAATATAGTCAGATTTGCTCGTATATATTTTTTGTTTGAGTCTGTTGGTTGGGCTTTTAACCTTTTCTATGTACAATCCTTATATGATCTAAAGTGACTAGTTTCAATGTTGTAGGAAAATGTCCAAATTATGTATTTAGTTTAGGATGATAATTATAAATCCTTATTGTAATTTTAGATATTTTAACTTTTAATAATACTAGTGTATTCTATTAAAAAAAATTGTTTGTATTTTTAATGATTTTGGAGCTTGGAAACTTTTTTTTCCTTTCAAAATTCGCCGGATTGAACGTCTTTGTACTGCTAAAAGCTTCTACACCGTTAATCAAGCAACTCATCTTCACTTAATAAAGGGAAATAAAGAGGGGGGAAAAGAAAGCAGAAATAAGAGCCTAAATTCAACCTTGATATTCTTAATATTGTCTTGATTGTGTTTATTTTGCTATTGATTTAGGCTGGAGCAGTTGATGCTTAATTTTCAAGACATGAACCACAAGGTTCAGTTGAGAATGAAGTAATAATTCCCTTTGATTTTCCTTTGTTATTGGCGCCAATCATATTGTTAAAGCATTTGGGGACCAACATTCAATTACCATAAAGACTATGCATGATGATGTTCCCAATTTCCCACTCTATTATTATCATATATCTATGGAAACCAAAAAAAAAAAGTTTAATTGAATTGGTTTAAACTATTACTCTTAAAACAAGATGAAGAAACGTATTTGGGTTAGAGACGTAGACTTTTTGTGAGACTGTCTCCTCCATCTCATATTTGGACGCAGATGGATACATTTACCTTGAGAATTTCTTTTCCATTATACCATTTTTTTATTTGCTAAGGGTAGGCTTTCTTGACGATGCTTTTATTTTTCCATTGATTCCAGTTCTAGGAACATACATCTTTTTTATAATTAATAAAAAGAAAACAAAGAGTTTACTCTTTTTTTTTCAGTGTTGAAGATAAAAGCAGGTAAAAGATGATGATATCGTACTTGGTGAAGATTTATATCAGATTTGATCAATTACTTAACGATCTAATTACGAATTACCATTTATTTTATAAAAATTGAAAAATCGGTGTAAACTTGTTAGAATTTAATCATCACTTTATAAAATTGTGAAGTTGGTTCATTTGTTGGAAAACACATGAACTGTTTTTCTGTTTTTGCTAATACATTGTTTAATTGACACTAATTTCGTGCATCTGAATTACCGAATTACTGATTTTCAAGTCAAGAATCTAATGCTTAGATTTAATAATAGGATAAATTACTCTCTTACTTATAAATCTTTATTCCCTCTTATTTCACTCACCGCACTTTCAATTTTTTCAACTTGCTCACTGAACTTTAGACATTGAACTTTTTTAGTCACTTGACCGTTTACTTAGTAACAGATGCATGACGTGGATTTTTTTATTAATATTTTTATGCCAACTAGGATTTAAAAAAATAAAAATAAAATTACTAAATTTTAATCCCCATCTCCAAACCCATCGACCGTTCAAAATGATCTTCACCCGACGTCGATCACAACCCAACTCCAAAAAGTGGATATTCTTAGTTGATCTAGTCTCCAACGAGAAAAGCTCTGGAGCGGGAAAGATGATTTTAATGTTAGCCATTAATATTCTCTGGTGGTCTGTGCTTGAACAAGTTTCACATATCTCGACATCATCCATAGCAAGGCCACCATATTTTCCTTTGATTTCTGACATCGGTGCTCCGTTGAATCTCAATATCTCCTATGATAAGCTTGTTGATCATGGGTACAAGTGGTAGAAGTTGTTGAAATAGAGAGAAGAGTATTGAGAAACAATGGCTTGAGTTTTTCATTGATTAAGAGTGGATATATATACATAAGATGGGGCATATATAAATAGGAAACTAGCCTAGAGTTAGGGATTACAACTAATTACAAGGCACATAAATAGGAGACTAGCCTAAAGTTAGGGGATTACAACTAATCACAAGGATATTATAATTGATTACAATAATTTAAAATTTAAATAAAATCTGTTATAATTAATTCTCTAATATGCCCTCTCATGATGGAGCTCCGGAGGAGACACCAATCTTGACCTTTAAATCTTGGAATCGGCTTCGTGGAAGTAGTTTGGTAAGAGAGTCGGCAAGTTGATATGCTGAGGAAACATGAGTAACAGGAAGAGCACCTGATTGAACTTGACCCCGAATAAAGTGATAGTCAAGTGCCACATGTTTCATGCGCGAATGAAAGACTGGATTAGAACAGAGATAGGTGGCACCAACATTGTCGCAGTAGATAACAGGCTGTGTAGGAAGAGTGATGCCAAGTTCTGTGAGAATGGAACAAATCCAATTGAGTTCAGAAGTAGTAGCGACAACTGATCGATACTCAGCTTCCGTGGAGGATCGAGCAACTGTACGTTGTTTCTTGGATGACCAAGAAATAAGATGACGACCAAGATAGACAATATAAACACTCGTTGAGGTATAGTCATCTTTGTTTCCACCCCAATCAGCATCTGAGAATGCATGAAGGGAAAGTGGATTTGCCTTGTGAAGAAATAATCCATGAGTTAATGTGCCACATAGATATCGAAGCAGTCATTTTGCAGCATTCCAATGTTCAGACGTCGGGCAATGCATGAATTGAGAAAGCTTGTTAACAGTATATGCTATGTCTGGGAGAATGAGGCAAAGATACTGTTTTATACTACTTTCTATCATCCACTATGTCAAACCTGTTTTATTGGCTACGAGTATACGCCTTATATTATATCCCAAAGAAATCTGCCTAGCTTTGGCTTTAATGATACGAAATACTCCAAGAATTTCATGCAAATGATTATCAAAATACTTCATTAGTTGCACCAAACTATACGCAAATATATTTAGTTGGGTCATTAATTTTTTTTTTATTCTTTCCATTCATGGATTTTGTACCTATTAAAAATATTTTTTTCATTTCCCTCTAATTCCGTTTTCATCCCCTTTAAACAAAATTAAAATTAATTTCAAAATTTGTAAAAGAAAATATTGCTGCAAGCAATATAAATTTTAGAGAAAATGTGCACACTCGAGAGAAATAGCCAAACCACGTTATATCTGTTAATTCTATATGCGTTTGATCGAGTCGAGACGAGTTGAGTTAAAAAGGTTCAAATTATTCAAATTGACGAGTATTATTTTACAATTCTAAGTTCATTTGAAATTTTTTCGAGTCGAGTTTATAAAATTCGAGTGAGTCGAGTTGAATTGGTTTTTCGAGTTTCTGTTTAAATTTAATCGTAAATATTTATAATATTATAATATTATTTGATTCTAATTTAAATGGCTTTCTATAACCATATATAATACAAATATATTTCTTCGTATTTTTTCATATGTAATATACGTATATCATACAAAGTCGAAAGATTCGACTCAAACTTAAAAATTAATCCACTAATTATTAAAAATTTTGAATTATTCGAGTTGTATTTTACAATTCGATTTAAACTTGAGTTTATAAAATTACTATTCAAAATCAATTTGATTTTAAATCGAATCTTTGGTCACCCCTGCTGTTCACTACGCGTGGGGGTGGGGGGATGAATCGGAAAAAAAGTAGTTTGTGCTGCAAAGGGACCGCAATCATGAACATTCACCACTCCATCCCCTCGTCCCAATTGCCCTTTCTTCTTTCCTATATAAACACTTTATATCATCGCAATTTCTCGTCACACAAATAAGTAAAGCAAAAGCAAAGCGTTAGCTATTGCCATGGCTTCCTCACTAAAACTCATATCTTTCCTCTTCCTCTTTGCCCTCTTCTGCGTGCAAATCCATGCCAGGGAATTCTTCAGCAAAATCCCAACAGTTAACATCAATGAGAAAGAGACAACAACAGCAACAAGAGAGAAAGAGCATGGGACCGAGACCACCCAAACCTCAGAAGAGCAACAGCCAAGGTTTATCCCCGAAACCGAAAATGGTTATGGCCTTTACGGGCACGGAACAGGCACAGATCAGCCAAGTTTCACCACCAAAGAAACTTACGAACCGTATGCCACCCCTGTTAAATACCATCCCGATGAACCCTACAACAGCATTCCCGAATCCAGCTCCAACAACAAAAACACCTACTACTACAACAAGAACGCCTACGAGTCCACCGAGCACCAAAATTTGGGCCAGGCCAGATTCATCGACAAAGGATGGAGCACCCAGGAGAACCAGAACAACAACTACAACCGCAACAATGGTGAGAAGCAAGGCATGAGCGACACCAGGTACTTGGAGAATGGAAAGTACTACTACGATGTTAAGAGTGAGAGCAACTATTATCCGAACCAGTTCGAGAACATAAGGGGAGTTGCTTCGAGGAACGAGTTCGATGAGAACCCTTACACCAACATGGGAAGATACAACCAGAACCAAGAGGAGTTTGAGGACACCGAGGAAGAGTTCCACCCCTGATCAGCTGTTGTATACCACTCTGCAATTGACGTTATTTTTGAAGAACATCAAGCAAAACAAGCACCGGATTTGATTAGATATTAAGAACGGTAATTAATTGGCAAAATCAATGAAGATGATACAATTTTATTTATTGAATCTTGTGGTGTATTGTCTTTTTCTGGTTATAGTCTTCTTTGCTTTGAAATGCTCAAGGTTTGATTATGTTCCCCCCCAAAAAAAACTTTTTTAACTTTATCAAACAATTTATTGAATAAAAACGAAACTATATTTTTAATACTAGCTTGACAATTCTTTTTGCCTTCCATAATAACATTATATTCCATGCATGCACAAATCATAATGATAATAATCTTCAGCCTTGACAGCCTTAATTAAACTAGGATTCAAAAGCTTAAACTTTCATGATACTACGTATAATATAATGTGATGTTAATCTCATGATCTTGTCTTCTAATGGATGATCCATCTCCCGCTTCACCAAACCAAGCATATACAATTAATTAAAAAGTAAAATTTGAACAAGTTAGCGCGGTCTTCTTGTTGAAACATCATTGGAATGATGAGTAGTTGGTATGTTTCATACAGCTAGCTATCTTAGTGTCTCTATTTTCAACAGCCTTAAAACCAAGGAAAGTGTCTATCCAACTAGTCGAGTACCACTTCCATGTGATGATAACATGGCCCCCTCCTCCTCCCATCACTATCTTTACAAGTGATAATATTATGCTTTGAAGATAAACGGTTGAGTGATTAATCACTGTTTCCACTAATAGCCTAGGTGAATGCAAATCCACTCAACATCACAGATAAATGCGAGTGACTTGGTCTATTCTCTAATATTATTTTTAGCGATTTTTAATTAAAACTTGGGTTAATATAAAATGGATCTAAATAGTTTACCTAATATTTTATTTACTCGTAAAAAGTTGGGAAAAGGAGAGGGGAAAATCATACATTTCAATTAGACGGTCATCTCCGTGAATGACGAATAGAATTGTACTTTTCTCTCTTTTGTCCTACTTTATTAGTATAGTCAAGCTTTAGCCTTAGGGATCATCTGTCCTTTTGACTTATAATATATGCATATGAACTCGGTGCAATATCCAAAGATTTACAACTGGTGAGGTCTGTATCGTATCTTACGTCGGTGTGGGATGTTCATAATAGTATAGATAATTGATAGAGTTGGGTTCACAACTTCACATCCTTAACATAATGAAGATATTGAAAAGAACTTAAAGTTGAAGGCGAAACTAACTAAAAGGAGCCAGGGGTACCCTGCCTGGCGTGGGTACAGTGTCTCCATTGACATGGAACCCCCATTTCAAGCAAGAAGGAATTTATTTACCCCTATATGACTATAGATATAATTGTGGGAGTAATCATGTTGCCGGGGATCCAATGGTTAAAATTAAAAGAACGGGTCATTTGGAGAGACGTTAATAACTGCAGTTCTATAGTTTTAACCAACATGGCCTTTTAAGTTTTTTTCACCCCAAAATAGTTTTAGTGTTCTAATACAAGTATTAACAAAATTTTAGTAAAAAATACCATCAGAGAATGACGCAACAGATGATAGAAAGGAGACGGGTATTAAAGTTATGATATGCTTATTATTTTTCTATTATGATATAAAAGATAATTTAAAATTTTGTAATGATATATTGATATACATAAAATATTATTCCCAAAATTATTGCTTTGAGAAGCCCACATTTCTTTAAGTAATGTCAGAAAGCGAAGCGAATAGTTTACCAAACAAGTTTCTTTGACGGGGGATTATTGTTAAAATTAAACTAATTGGAAAAATATAAAGAAGGGCCCAAATGGCCAGGCTCTAGACCCAGTAGTCCACCAGGACCATGAATCATCTTTTTGGGCTTGTAAATAATTCTCACCACGCCCGATACGAACTCTTCTGGCAAGTGCATATATTGGGATTCTATTTATAAAAGCTTTTAATATATTAATCATTTTTTTAGAAAAATAGAAATCTCTATTAATTAATATTTTCTGTAAATTATCATATGCATCATCCACCTATGAAATTCTTTACGTTTTTCTTTTCAAAGGTAACATTCATGACGTATTATTGTTTTTATAAGAAATGATTTCAATTAAAGTCAATAAGGCATATTCAATTCCACATTTGTAGTTTTTTCATTTAAATAGTTTAATTTATTATTTTATTCTTATTTATGTTAGAATTATTTTAGACGAGTTAAATTTTAATTAGTTGAGAGTCAAGTTTGATTTAAACTGCATCCCGAAGTAAAAAATAAATAAAGTTAAGGGTATTGTAATTGACATTTTAAGTAGTCTTATGTTTACTTGGTTGTGAGATTTTAGGTAAAATAAAGAAGAGAACCTAAGGGAAAGAATTACGGTGCAACAATAGATTTATGCTTTGTTTAGCATAGATTCGGGATTAATTCGTTTTTATGTTTATCTTTTAGCTGTTTTTATTTATACATGCATTGCATTTTATCTATATTTTTAATTTTCTGACTGCCGGAGGTCTTCCACGGAAGCTACTCTCAACCTGGCGCTGGGGGCAGCCTACTACCTTACCTCCCCCTTACCCCATTGCATATGGGAATTGGGTTTTGTTGTTGTTGTTGTTGTTGTTTTAGCTGTTTTATTATACATTTTAAGAAGGCCTAACCTAGCTTACATTGTTATCCCACTTTAATTAAATTTAGTTTTTAGGGTAAAATTTCAGTGCATTTGGACTTAATTTACTTTTCACATCTTCAAAGGAGCACCACGTGTCCTTTTGTCCCTTCTGGTTATAGAAACCTTCGAAACCGATGATTTACTTCTTATTACAGATGCGTATATGAAGACTTTTCAACTATGTATTTTTTTATTTATATATACATGCATTGTATTTTATCTTTATTTTAAATTATCCGAATGCCGGAGGTCTTCCACGGAAGCTGCTCTCAACCTGGCATTGGAGCAGCCTACTACCCTACCTACTCTTACCCTATTGCATATTGGAATAGGGTTTTGTTGTTGTTGATATAGAAACCTTCAACACTTCGCGGCGGCAGCGGCGGGAGTTTCGGCTTGCTAAATAACATAATTTATATTCTAAACGTTTCGTCTCGAAACGCAAAAAGAGCAGCACGTAAAACGGTTTCAGTTTCCCATGCAATTTGTTCATCACACTCCATAACCCCATTCTCCTAAACATCATTAATACAGTCATCGTGTACCATTAAAAAATTCAAGCATAATGAAGTACTTAAAGGAAAATTAGTGGAGTTTGAATTCGTTTCAGAGCCCATATCAATGTCTGAAAATATAAACGCAACTGCTCAATCAATGCCTTAAAAAATTGGTTGACAAGGAAGAATCACTTCAAAAATGGTTTTGGTTCCTTTTGAAATGCAGTTTTTCTTATTCAGGAAAAATTGAAGAGACTAATATATATCGAACTGAAAATGGGTGAGAGTTGTGAATAGACAGGACAACAAGAATCCCATTTCCTTTTTGTTTTCTAGCTTTGTTTAATCAGTATGATTACTCCATTTATGTGAAATCATGGCATACTGAAACAACCCTTTTCTTTACTATTGAAAGGAAAGAAAGTTAATATTAAGAAAATGAAAACCTCCAAAAGGAAATACTCTAGAATAGGGGCCTAAGAGGCTAACAGCACTTATCTGCTTGCTGTCTTCAAGATTCTGAATACTCGTTTTGTTTCAGTGATCATTTATCAGAAAAACAGGGTTGAGTTCACATCTTTCTTTAACTCCCCTGATATGAGGTGTCCTGTTTCTTTAATGCTTAGGGATGTATTGTTAGCAAAATACTATTCATGATAAGATTTGTCATATTAAGAAATTATTTAAAATATATTTTCCTGTGAGTACTTATTAGTTCCTAATAGTATGCGACAAAATATTACGTACCCCTTCGCGGGTCCATAGATAAAAGAGGATTTTCTTTTCTTTTTTGAAATATGGCGGTAAGGTGATGGTTAAAATGTTGTTATTAATGAGTAAACAGGAGTGATTATCTGACCTAATTAAGATAATGAAGTAGGGAATTGTTTATATTAATCATCTATCTCATGAGATTTGCAAAAGCTGAAACTCAACTTCCCTGGGACCCATTCATTAATTGTTCTTTGTTTAAGGAAGAATCTCTTAGATGAACCAATCCAAGATAGGCGCTGTTATTGACCATCTCTTGTACTTTTAGCAGTCAGGGATTTTGTATTCCGAGTTGCAATTATATTTTGTGACCCTCATCTTCATTCATTCTCTGCCATTTTCATTCTTTATCTTGCTATTGGAGAGCTCAACCCATGGCAGCTGAGGTAATAATCATTCTACATCTTGTTGGTTGTTTTTATGTTGATCATGCATGTGCAAATATTTTTTCAATGATTTATGTTCTGATTGTTTTCATCGCCAGGTAATTAAGAATGGGTTTCTGGGTTTTAGTTGAATTCCTTTTTTCGCCTCCTTGGTTTCTTGCTTATTTCTTCTGCGGTTGGACATATAAATTGTTTTTTTTTCCATGATTTTTTTTCTTATTCTGGTTCATGGGATTTTAGAGAGAACCGAGATTGAGGTATGCTTAAAATTTTGATGTCCAAGTAGGATTTCAATCACGACTTTATGTCTGTGCCTTTCTGATTCCACCGACAGTCTCCCAAAAGGAAAATATAATATGTCTATGTCTATGTATGTATACATGAAAGTAGAGAGTTGTAACGGTGTCGTTTCAAAAGAAATACATGGTCGCCGCTGCTTACAATTTAATCCATGTTTTCGATGTTTTTACAACATCAAACTCCGGACCTTGTGATTACCAGTAACGCAATCACAAGTTAGAACTGCTAATTAGATGTAAGAGAAATTTTCACTGGATCTTAACTAGTAAGTTTGTTTGCAAAGGAAAATCCCAGATGAACAGCCTCTGTTTAATCAGAATGGAACCGGGGGTTTGGCTTGTGTTTGAAGATGAAACTGACAGGTGGGTGTGACGAGGAAATTAGAGAGACAAATGTCAAAAAAAGTGTGTTTTAAACTTTTTAATTTGTGTCATCCATTCCTCACCTGGCT